ATCATCACCAGATTTAACATCAACATTTTGACTTTGGATTCAAAGTTATTCACTAGTGGAATCATTTCAAGACCTCAGAAATCAATCTTTCGTGTCAAAAATCAATCGTCGGATACGTAGCTGTCAATTTCTAAGTGCTTAGCACTGATCTAATTTTGTTGGTTTACCGACTGACTTCTGACATTCATCAGCAGAGCACAGGGAATTTTTATATCACTAATAGAAGTCGTCACATCAGAAACCTGGCCAATTGGCCTCGACCGGAGCTAAGTGCCACGAACTCAAAAGTCATATCTGTTGCCCTCTGGTGACTGGTTAGTGAAGGTAGTTCAGTTACCGTGGGTCAATCACCACCACGACTACTTCAAGATAACGTCTCAAACTCTAGTGTCCAGTATTGAAGGTTCAAATGCTCGACGAAATATCTTTTTTTCAAGACTGTAGATATTTGTTACTAATGAGTGTTGGCAAGCATACAACTTAGGTCCAGAGATAGTTACTGATTTGCTCCTAACATGAGAATACTAAAGTCTTGTGTCATCCAACATCAACTCTTAAGGTATTTAGTGGTTGTATATGTAAATTACATAATATAACTACCTCAGTCTATACAGAATAATAGTTGCCAGGCCAAACATTAATGGTTTATCGCTATCAGATGCATCATTAAACTGGTTATATTGTATCTCAGTCAAAATTCTTGATTATTTTTCGAATGTTTACAGCGATTTTAACAATCTTAATTGAGGATAAAACGAAATGCCTGGTATTTATTGTGATGCATTTCGATAGATTTTTATACGCAGACTCACACAGTAACTTATGCTTTTTAGGTTGCGTAAAATTAATCTAAATGTAATTTACTCTATCAGATGTCTCACCATCCAGCTCTTCCCACATTTTGCGGGTCTTAGCTTGATGTACAGATACACGGACTAGAAGACAGTTCTGAAAGTCGTTCCGGATAACACAAGTGAAACAGCAGCTATGGCAGCCATATTACTATCGTGGTTTTTCCAGAAGACTAGGTTGTGCAAATAAGGAAGATAGCAGTAACAAGTTGTTGCTGTTAAAGAAACTTAGTTGCACTATACCAAGGCTTCATATGACTTATTGTTATTCAATTTATTATGAGAATGTATCAACTAGTCTAAAGAAGTATTTGAATGTAGATATTTCTGGAAGTTTATTTTACTGACTGGATTTTTTAAACCATTTCAGGCAAAATGGATTGGGATGTCATATTTCGTGCAAAAGCAGCACGAAAATAAGTTGGCGAGATAGGCAAGAATTTTATTTTGATTGGAAGAAGAAATCTAGCACCAAATGTTTTCACATTATCAATATCTAATAATAATGTTTCCGTCTTTCTAATGGTGGATACTTATTCGAAAACCCCTTGCTCTCAGAGTATTCAAGTGGCTATTTAAAATAACATTTTCATTCGAGCTATGACCAGCGGAAGTAATATTAATTGATCTCTGAAATAAATACTGTGAGACTGTGGCATTGTAAGAGCGAAGTAATTTTGACGAACGGCTTGTGCATCTTTGAAGCACGACTACATCATCGACAACAAAAATGCGTTTATGAGTTTAACGTCAGATTGGTTACTAGTTTTGCTTTCTGGTTAACAAAGGTAATTATTTTGCTGCAAGGTAGGAAGCGAACAGTGGGTAAATTAAACAGTGTCTAAGTCAAAGTATGCAAAAATTGGTGTTGCTTATGAAAACATTCTTCCTCCTTCTTCTATCATCAAAACCAATTAGTGGAGATCATTGAACTTCCATTTAGCAGTGGACATGCTCACACCACTAAGCAGAAGGTTTCGGAGGAAGGAAAGGTACCTTCCGATTGGAAGAACGAGTGCCCTGTCAAACTCCGAAAGAAAAGAGACCTAAGTCTTTGCAAGAACTGGCGACGAATCACACCCGTGTCCCTGTCCAACCCAACTAGAATATTAAGCCGCATCATCCTGGAGAGACTAAAAGGAAAATGCTCTGCATTCAAAATTACCACCGGAACAGGCTAGATGACTTTAGGAAGAACAAATCATGTGCGGATCAAATTGCAACGCTACGCTATGCATCATCGTCATGGAGTAGAGCACAGAATGACAGGCAACTCTCTACTTTGCCTCAGCTTCGTCAACTCTGAAAAGACCTTGGATAGCATCGACCGACAAGTAACTTAGAAACTGCTTCAACGCTACGGAGTGCCACACATTTTGTCAACCTCATTCCACAGCTATATGAAGAGGCCACATGCCAAGTGATCAACAATGGAACACTCTGCGATGCCTCTGAAGTGAAGACAGGAGTAGAACAAAGCTGCTTATTATCATCCTTGATCTTCCTGATTGTGGTTGACTGGATCATGCAGCAAACGGTGAGGAGCTGGAAGATGGGCAAACGCTGGCTGGACCGATGAAAAGAACCTAGGAGATTTGGATTTCGCTGATGATTTATGTATGTCTGGTGTTGCACAAACTCAAAAATCTACAGGCGAAAACTAAGAAGTTGGTAGAAGAGGTGAGGCAGCGAAAATGGGACTTCAAGTGAATGTAGAGAAGACGGAGGTGATGAAGATACCCAACCAACAACTGCATGAACAACAAGCACCAATCACGATGAATGGGAGAAACCTAAAGGAAGTAGTCTCTTTCACCCACCTAGACAGCATCGTTTCAACTACAGGCGGTGGTGGCACAGATGAGGATGTCAAAGCCAGGATCCGAAAGGCAAGATACGTTTTCATTAATCTGAAATCAGTGTGGAGATCTACTGCACTCAGCATGAAGCATGAACATGATACGAATTTTCAACACTAACGTCAGTCAAGTCAGTGCTGCTATGTGATGGTTGAGAGACTTGGCGCGTTACGAAAAGCATTTCCAACAAACTACAGACACTCATCAACAGCTGCCCCCTACGCTCACTCGATAGTGAAGATCAGATAGATGGCCAGAAAGAATAAGCAAGAAAGACCTCTGGCCTGTCAACGAACTAACCAAGAACCCATCACCCAACAAATATGCAGAAGAGAGTGGATATGGATTGGATCGGGCATACAGTGAGGAGACCGCTTGGGGACACCACGTGACCGGCCAGACCCTCAAGTGGGAAGCGAGTTGGGGGTTCGAGATTGACGTGAAGGAGATTGTGTCAGGAAGAAACGAAAGCTTGTGAGCAGTCGTGGTGCCAGGTTCAAAAGACTGCGGAGAACAGAATGAAATGGCGACGTGCTACTGAAGCCCTATATTGCACCAGGAACACGAGGGTGTAAAAGTAATGAGAATAATTTGAAACTCCAGTGCTCATATTTGTCAATAATATAGGAGTCGTTCGAACTATTTCGAGTAAGTCAAATATGTATGCAATACAACCAGACTTAGTCAATGTTACACACTAACCCTTGTCTTGGAACTTTTAAACAGGAGTGATTGTGCCCTAGGAAATGCATCTGCAGTGGAATGTTTTTCATAGTTCTAGTTCTGATAAAGAATTTTTGAATGCCTTGATTAAGATATGTTTAAAAAACTCACTTCTGGATAAGAAACATCTCGTTAACAACTTATGCTCAAAAGTATGATAAAGTACTTGAGGATTCCTTATATATAGGTAGACGATAGTGACTAGATATTGGGGCCTGCACATGAGCAGCATCTAGTTAAAATAAATTTGATGTCTCATAGTAAGGAAAGGTCGGGTTAGGGGAGTCAGAAAAAAGTTGATCGACTTCCTGTCCTTAATATTAAAAATGGGATAAGAACGACTTTTTTTAGAAAGTATGAAACGTCAGATAGAGTACGGTGAGGTTTAATCTAATTACGAGGCATTTGGTCTACAAATAAGTTCTAAATACCACCTTAAGTGCAACCTATAAAATGAATTTATCTAACGTAGTAGAACTATTATCCAAATTATTTCCTTGGATCACACAGGCCTCACTGATCGTCTGGTACTTCGCTAAACATACTAATAACACCAGGGTTGTGCGTCTTCCCAGTACCAAAACATCAATGGGTCTAAAATAAATCAGTAAATACATATTCAAAGTATCAACTCAATAGATAAATGATTTGCTACGGTGTCAGCGGGTGCCTTTGTCCTGACCTAACATGTAGGCATTCGCCCTTCGCTGATTGCCATTTTGTATTTCTTATGTGCTGACCAACAGAAAAACACTCGGAGCCCATCATTCAGTTGTATGAAAGCAGATAAGTCGAAAATGTTTTTCCTGCAGTAACCGTTATACTATAGTCAAAAAATGTGCTGCTCTCCTGAGTTTTATCATCTACCCTGTTACTATATTTGAACTTCGTAACTAAAGGTTGCACAAAAATAAAGTGCTGATTAGTTGATACTGATACACATTAATCTACGTAGGACTGGTCACATGTCAGGTAATAACAATATAAACAATCTCTAACACACAATGATGAACCTGAAATCAGGGAAACGTATTAGATATATCCAGAACTAATAAAACCATTTATATACACAAAAACATGCACCTGAATACAGTATAGCAAATAAGTATTTGGAACTAGTATTATATACATTAGGCAGAGCATCTGATAAGTGGGATTTCTTAAAAGTGCCGAAATGAAATATGGTAACGAACATTGATCCTCTCAAAGTAGTGAATTAAGATTGCTACTCCAGCATGTCGCTAACTGCTGGGTGAAGTGGTAACTAATTAGTCAGATGAGTTAAGTCAGGAAGCAAATATCTACACAATATACTGGGAATGATGAAGAAATATGAATCTGGCTTCTACCTAGTGTGAATTATTTCGTCAATCAACATGAAACTTCGAAAAGCCACGATGCGTTACATAAGAATATGGTGTACCTAGCTGATATCCTCGATCGTGAATTAGGCTAGACAGCTGCCTAACCTATCTAGATACCCCTCAAGGCACATACGTATTTGAAGCTCAAGTAATCACGTCAAATTCATATGAACCGTCCATTATTCGCAACTTTTATTCAGTACCTCTGATGAAACTTCAACGAAATGGGTAAATACTACGCTTTTTAATAAAACGACAAACTCACCAGAACGTGAACAAATAACAGATTTATATAATCACAAAGTGTGAAATTTTTTTGAGATGGCGCATTTTAACAACTCGAAAATGATCCAACATTCAATATTTTTCTACAAGCTATGGTAAATCAGCTGATTTCTGTGCGATATTTGTAGGTCTCGAGAAACGGTTCATGGTCTTGAGTTGATTTAGACCCAGTAAATCTACCTTATTCCCTGCAGTATCTCTAGTTAGCACAATCGCAGTTGGTTGGTGATTAAGTTTGTTGTGATTATATGATTTATCCAAGGACCGTTAGGCAGACTGGTTTCCCAAAACTTGTCATCAGATGGCTGTTGGGACTGGTTGCAAAAAGAAGATAGGATGGTAAGAAGGAGGTTAGGTGAAACCAAGGGAAAGCATATGCGAAAAGAAGCGGAAGGAAGGGAAAGGAGAAACTTCAGCGGGTTAGGCGAAGATAGTAGTGATAAGGGATAGAAATAATGGTGTTACTGGTACGATTATGGTAAATGCAGGTGAATCGTTCAGTAAGGAAGTGTGAGGTTAAGCCAAGTGACATAAAAAGATTCGGTGTAGGGTAGGCTGTGCTGTTTTGTGCAGGATCGGTTACTTGTATTGAACTAGCCTGTATCCCAGACGGGTAAGTACTAGCAACTTATCGATATGTAGCTGTCCAACCTCTCCTTGAAGATGATGTTATACGTATTTGTATCAATCCCGGTAGGCAATGCTTTCCAGTGATCACGAGCTAGCAGGGAGAAGAGGAGTGAACATGCACGAGTTTTCTCCCTTTTTATGGGCATTTCTCCTCGGGTTACCAACATCATGATGTAAACTAATGTTAAAAACTGATTTCGGTCACTCTGCTTTCGAGTTTAAGAAAATCATCACTTGGATGATAAGCTTTCAAATTCGCAGAAAGGCATGTAGGATATTTGTGAAACGTGAGAAGCATGAATCGAATGAGTAAAATGCAACCGTCGGCAACAACTGGCCTAATAAATAGCAGTATGTCAGCATGGAATTCCAATAACCATTCCGTTAATAATACACAGGAATGTGGGAGGAGAGCATCGTAATTATTGTGCAAGTATTACCATTCTCAAACTTATAACCTAGGGGTTCGTGTTAGTAATCTCAACTCGACCTACTCACCAAAACTTGACATGGCCTTCATTGCGTCAAATGATAACATGGACTCCGCTTTTTATGGGAGAGGATCGTAAGAGTTTATCGCTCGATGTGAAAAACGGCCCTCACCTAAAGACGTTCATTACAATAAATCCATGATAGAGAGTGGTCCTCCCCTCAAACCAAGGCACACATGTATCTTGATTTTGGAGGAATCCAGTCACAATTACACCTGCCTGGTAAGTCATACACACAGCATGGGCGATAAACTCGCTGAAGGTTCATTTTTAACCTTGTCCAAGAAACTGGGCTTATTCATAAGTTACGTAAGCAAAGCATTTGGAAAATAACAGAATTTCCACAGGTTTGGACGGATTTCTCACGGATGAGAAATTCGTGATGGATAACTCTAAAATTCTTTCTATGCTGGGCAAGACCGACCCTGTCATCATCAGATTCCAGTGTTTTGCTCACAGTTTGCACACACTACACTGTGTGACTGCCAAGACGTAAACTGGTTTATCTATTGCTCAATTCATCCTTCGATCTAACACTCTTTCCACTGTATACCATGTTAAGTAGATCTCGTACGTCTCACTCCATTTAGGCAAATTTTGCCTTCTGCGCTAGCACTTTGATTTCTCTTAAGACATCCGTTATTTCACGACTGTCCACCTATCTCCACTTTACAATACAAGGACTGCCATATTGCGGTCAAGCCCCTGTTACAAGTAGCATTACGGCTAGTAATAAGGAGGACAGATTACTCTAAAGAAAGACGGAGGGTGATTGTGCATATCACAAGAACGTTAGCTACAGACTGAGAAGTAACAAATAGATTCAAAACAGTCCAACAGCAGGCAAAATATGTGACATATCTGGTCATGGGGACATAAGGAAACCGCCCTTATCTGAGAGGCAACTGGCTGCGGTTCAGGTCTAAAGATCTACGCTGGTAATCAAAAGTAATCAAAAAGAAACCACGTATATTGTACCCAGAGTTGTATTCCCAGTATCTCCCATAAATGCTAGTTATTAGTCTGAACAGTGCCCTGGTCCTAAATAAAACACTAAAGACCAGCTGCCCATCCAAACATAAGCCCCTCAAACTCCCACCATGTGCTCTACAGGTTCTTTTTTCTTGGCACCACACCACCTAGTCCCATCTTCTCTTTCTTCAGCGTAACATTTTCAAGCCCAGGCTTAAGCAGGTTCTCGAATGCAAAACGGCCAAAGTTTGAACAAGAGAAAAGGGACATAAAAAACGTCATGATCGCTCCTTAGGTGCGGTAAGAAACTCTGTGGCGGCTTATTTCCTGTATTTCCTTTACCGACTTCTGTCAATCATATGGCATTTTTGAACTCCAGCGCAACTGGTGTGGCCTCTGCGTTTGTCAATTTCATTTCATCGGCAGAGTATGGATGAGGATCATAACAACGTAAGCCATACATTAAGGCAAACTTGATATTTCTGTTTAGAATCCGCAAACTATCATTTTCCACCACCCAAAATTGCAGAAGTCGGAAGACAGCTCTTATCTGCCTGCAGGTTCCTCCATCTAACAGGGCTGAAGGTTGGTGGGAAGCATAACGTTGAGAGGACATTGCATGAAATGCGGGGAGTAAATGTAGATGCTTCATATCTATCAACAGTCTTGTAGTTATCTAAGACTTCAGTTGGGCTTGCATCAAGTCAGTATTTTTGCATCTATAGCTCCGAATCACAAATAAGATCATCCTTGTAAAGTTGACATGCAATGATGTATGCTAAGTTGCTTCAAACGCATATCGCCATTATGACTATCATTACTGTCGTGTGCGATGCAACGTGACAACCATCCAACGCTGATGCTTAATATCTATCCTCATATCCGGCCTCGTTTGCCACACAGCTCATGACTTCTTAATATAAGTCCCGAAAATATCATCTCTTCTACTCTGACAACAACTGTAGTAGTAATATTTATTCCTGAGCATACAGGCACACCGTTTCAAGAGGTATGGTTGAGTTACCATGTAAATCACATGCTTATTTGTAGCAGGTAATCTCAGCCCCCACGTACTGTCACTAGAAGATGTGAGTACTGCATGTTAATATAATGGAACAGCCCAGCAGAATAAGCATGCAAGAATTCGTAAGTTGGACAAGTGAAAGTATTGTCTTCGCATTAACAAAAAACCAGGTTTGTATCTTGACATTACGTGAGGTGCCTAAGGAAAAACAAGGCCTGAAGCTAATATCTCCACTGTAACAGTTTATAGTTCCTGTCTGAGACACTTATGAAGAGGTTATGAGGGAATTTATACACAAGTTGTTCAACTATTTTACTTCACTGATGATTCCAGAAATTCAAAATTCATGTGTGTCCATACCATTTCACGTCAAAGATGCATAATCTTACTGAGTATTATGACTGGGGGCAAAATGTCTTCATTTCTCCAACTCCAGCATCCGGAAGCAATAGGCTCGTTTGAATGAGTCAGGTTCGGGAAGACATTTGAGAGCCTTGGATGATGATACCCCCCTCTGGCTATGAGGAATTTCTTCTACGTGATCCTGGCAGACTCAGGAATCAACCACCAATTCCGCGCACTTGCTGATCATCTTTTGTTGTGAAACCAGGAAGGAATACAATTTCATAACTGTGTACGGCTAGCATATCTTGTAAACCATCTTTATGCACTGATCTGTTACTGGATCACCATCGAACAACGTAACATAACACGATCGTGTGCCGGGTGACGTGGGTGCTCGACCATACATGTTCAGCCTAGCAAGTCGTTAAGATCTAAGACGGTCAGCATCGATGTTGAGTATCGTCGAAGCTTGGGTCATCGGTTTGAGGAAATGTTCGTATAATGTGATTTTTAATCCCTATTAAACGCTTAATACCATACGCAGCAGTGATCTTTATATCGTCCCAGCAGTTTGCCAGATGGTTAGTCTGCCTTCGTTGATGAGACGTAACCGTAATGGTCATTGGGAAGGGGATCGAAATCACTCAGCGCTTAGCTTGTGTCTACCTCTCCAAAGGCCCACTCAGATGGCCGTCACACAGCTGATCAGAAGACAGCCGCACAATAGCTTGTCAGCGCCCACTTGGAGGGTCAACCACGTTATTCCCCGAACTTTAGCGTGTTCCTTTGCTTTGAATCTAGCAGCAGAAGGAAAAGTATGGGTATACCGTAATGAACCACGTCCGTTGGTTTTGACTCCGTCACTTCTAATTCTTGTACAGTGTTTCCATTTCTTCTCACTCCCTTTGGATGGGTGACTATTTTTTAATCACCACCAGTTTTAGCTTTTACGCTCTGAACAAACGTCTTGATTCTTCTTCCACTTCATTCGGTGTGTTTTGGGCTTGGCTTAGTGACGCAATGTTTTTTCGATACCAAAGTCCTGGTGTCTACTCACAATTAATGCCGGATTTTAACCTCACGCCGTGACTCTCCTTGTGTTTTATTATGGCTCTTTGGTATATCATATGCTTCCATTTTCGACTGTATAACAGTGTACTATGTCACTCCCAGAAGCATTTGGCTTCAGTCTACTATGCTCCACATACAGGCAAGCGCCTTCCATTTGCCCCTCGGATGACCGGCACCTCTTCTGAGGAAAGTGCGTTGCCCCAAAAGCGGAGTTCCCCAAGTTGTTCAGCCAAGACAGTTGGTGAAGGTTTCTTTCTAGTTGGCACATTTCCTGATGACGTCAAACACAAAAAGCACATCTTAAGACCATCTTTTGACAGGTCACCTGCACTATAGACGAGTCTCACGGTTATAATAGCATCCAGAAGCGTGAGTCGTAAGTTTCAGAACTCGAAGTGCTAAAAGTCATCATTTCAAATGTCACTTTGTGGGTCAC